CAGCTAACCCAAGGGAGTCATCCAGATGTTGGACCTCAGCTGCCAGAGTTTCAATCACTGGCTATGGCAGCCATAGTCCAACAACATCTGGAAGGACGCATAATTCTCACTAAATATTTTGGGATGTGTGTTCTTGAATGGGCCATTCGGATTCATTTGCTTTACAAAAGACCGGTGCCTGATAAGAGATGAAAACTGACCAAACTGCTCCATTGAAGGGAGGAACCATTCCAGCTGTCTGCATTTTTGATGCTGCTTTGGATTGTGGCTATGTGGACTGTGTTGATGAATGCCTGTAGGTCAACTTTTACCACTGGTCCACTTGGAAAGGCCAGATAAAAATGAAATTAAGGTAGGTTTATAGCAAATATAAAGAAGAACAAGGAATAATGCTGCAGACAGAAGCACAGCTGATTGATTTCTTTCAGCACTGAGGACTGCGGTAAAGGGCAGCAGATTAAAAGTCAAAGAACATACCACAGAAGTTCACAGAAGGCAGAATATCAATCACTGCTAGCTGAGACAGTCTAGGCATGTGTCCTTTTACCAAGGATGCCCTAAAACTTTAGATTATTGGAAGCAATTTAATTAGGCCTTGGGGTTTTGTATCAGCTCCTTTAAAGCATTCACAGCAGTTTGCTGAGGGTGACAGGATACTGGGCTAGACAAACTATTGGTTTGACCCAGTGAGGACTCCCTATTCAATAAATGACTTGGTGCTTGTAAAAATTGTGTTCTCTCACACAGCAGGCGACTTTGCCAATACATTGACATAAGTCAGTAGACATTAGTCAGTTTTGCCAGTCCATGCTGCGTTTGCCAGCCAACATGCAGAGTTCAGGGTAAGAGAGATTGAACAATCCTCCATAGGAACTTGTCCAGAATGTGAGAACGAAAAAAGGGATGCACACACTTTGCAAAACTGCAGCAGTTTGATACTACATTAACAGCCATTGTTTCATCCTAATGATTTCTAGGATTTATAGTTTCTCAAGGTACTTGGACTTTTTGCCAGACAGCTCTTCTGGCTATAATTCAGAGGAGTGTGTTAGGGAATTCTAGGTATCTTAGCAAACTATAAATCCCAGAAATTTGTAAGATAGAGTCATGGCAGTTCAAATGGTATCAAACTGCTATAATTGTGCAACGCCGATACAGCTTGGGAAGATCATCTGCTGAAGACAGAAAGAGCACAAAGCCCAAAACCAAGATGGCATTTATGAATTTTCTCCCTCTAGTGCTCCTGCTCTAGAGAGTTTCCTAGCATCCTGAAGTTGGTTTTTAAGGTACACAGAGGGTGGCAGGAAGTAGGGGGAATTTCCTCCCCACCCCAATTGCTTTCATGAAAACAGCTTCCACAAGTGCAATGACAGTGTGGGAGACCAGCCATGTTTGTTCTTTTTTTTGCACTTTGCAGTAATGGGGAATTACATCCTAGCTGTGTTTGTTTAAAATCTGATGGACAAAAAAGTTAAATTAATTTGACTGAAGTTCATGCTTTACTGAATAACAGGGAGATGGTTGATATTATCTATTAAGAAATGAATTTAAAATCATAGAATCATGGAGTCATAGAATCAGTTGGAAGAGACCACAAGGGCCATCCAGTCCAACCCCCTTCTGTCATGCAGGAACTCACAATCAAAGCACACACACACGCACATGCACACACACCACACACAGATGGCCATCCAGCCTTTGTTTAAAAGGGAGTGTGTTCTACTGTCAAACAACTCTTACTATCAGAAAGTTTTTCCTAATGTTGAGGTGGCATCATTTTTCCTGTAGTTTGCATCCATTGCTCTGTGTCCTAGTCTCTGCAGCAGCAGAAAACAAGTTTGCTCCATCGTCAATATGACATCCCTTCAAATATTTAAACAGGACAATCATATCACCTCTTAACCTTTTCTTCTTCAAGCTATACAAACCCAGCTCCCTAAATTGCTCCTCATAGGGCATGGTTTCCAGACCATGCTATAATAAAATGTTATAATCATAATTTTAATGAACTGTTTTATTTTTGTTGTAGCTATGTGCCTTCAAGTTGTTTCTGACTTATGGTGACCCTAAAGCAAACCTATCAGAGGGTTTTCTTGGCAAGATTTGTTCAGAGCAGGGGTTACCTTTGATATCCTATGAGAGTGAGAGAGTGTGACTTGCCCAAGGTTACCCAATGGGTTTCCATGGCTGAGTGAGGATTCACTTACCTGATCTCTGGAGTCATATTCCAACACTCAAACTACTGCACCACTCTAGCTCTCTGAGGTATTATTGCAATGTGCACTGATCTTCATTTTCCTTTTTATCTTGCTTTTCTGGTTTTGTGAGCCACTTTGTTCACTCTGTATGGAAAAGCTACATGCAAAGGAAAAGTGGTGATGGTGTTAGATTTTAGGCCAAGTTCGAAACTCAGTTCTAAAATTCAGCAAAAATCCCTTTGCTCATCATCATGACCCTTCAAGCTATAAAATCAACCCCTGAGGCAAATCCTATTTTTTCCAGCAACAGAAGCGACAGACCCTTTCCTCACCAGTGCACATGTGTGTATTTTTAATTTTGTTCTCTTAGTGAATATCAAATTGGCATTTGAAATTTAAAGGTCAAAACCTTTTTGGGAAAGGTCAACGGACTTTAACTGTGAGAACTAATATTGCATAGCTCAATAGTGTATGCAGATTTCATGCAAACACAAAAGAAAGTTGCATTTAGCTCCCTTAGAGATAAAAACACAATATCTTATTTGAAGGTCTCCCAAAGCACTCAGTAAAGAGTTGTTTCCTAAACACCCACCTCCATGTACTTACCCAGCCTCCATCTTCCACATTGACGCTAACAGAATGGAAGGAGGGACCACATGGCTGACATTCCAATCAAGACGTCTGCGGCAGAAGGCTCCTGTTCTAAAAGCTGCATCAAGTGGGTGGATGGCTGCACTATGTTAAGAAACGGGTTGGGAGAAGACCTGTGAATGCATGGAAACTGTTTAAGTTACCCATTATGTTCTACAGACAGGAAAAAACTGCCAGTGAAAGAAAAGAATTGTTTAAAAAAGTAAGCACAAGCACAGTTGGACTCTTTGCATATTCATCAGAGTATCTTTTGGTTGTTGTTACTTGCTGTCAAGTCAACTGGGACATAAGAAAACCCTTTGAATGAGACCTCCAAGAGTCCCAGACGTCAACTGCCCTCCTCAGATCTTACAAATTCAGTGCTACAACTTCCCTGATTGAATCAATCCACCTGTAATGTGTTCTCCCTCATTTCCTATTGCCTTTCACTTGACCACATACTATTGTCTATTCCAACGAGTCATACGATCTCATGATATGTCCAAAGTATGGCAGTCTCAGTTTAGAGCAGGGATTCCCAACCTAGGATGCCCGCAAGTGGGTATGAGCTAGAATTTCAGGGGGTGTGAAAAAAGTGGCTTGTGTCCTTGAGTGAGGAGTCAAAAGTCATCACTCAATTTTTTTTGTGTGTGAATAAATTAGAATCTAATTGCTCAATTTAGATTTGCATTTTATCCACTATGTTAAAAGCTTATTTTTAAAAAGTTTAATTTGTTTACCCACAGTACTGTATGTGGTTCAATTTGTGGTTCAGAAATTAGAAATCAGACTTCGTCATCTTCAAATGTGATATTACTTTTGTAGAAGATGTGAACGTTAATGAAACATTTCCTAGGGATGTGGGGCATAGAAAAGGTTGGGAAACACTGGCTTAGAGACATGGCTGTGTTAGTCTGGAATATCAGTATGCAAAGGGATCTTGTAGCACCTTTGAGACTGTGTGGAAGACATTGTAGCATAAACTTTTGTAGAAAGTCTACATCCTCAGACGATCTGAGAAAGAAGACTAAAGTCTACAAAGGTTATGCTATGACTTCTTTCACCCAGTTAGTCTCGACAATAGCATTAGTTTAGTGATCTTGGGTCCTAGTGAGAGTTCAAGCTTAATTTACTCATGTAAACATTCATTTGTCTCCTAGTGGTCCATGGTATCTATAGAACCTTCTTTCAGCATCACATTTCAAATTACAATTGTCCCTCCCAATTTGTGGGGGATCCGTTCCAGACCCACCCACCCCATGAATTGGGAAAATTGCAAATATTCAAGGTCCATTGGTGTATGCTCCTGTGTGCGGCTGTGTGCACATGACTCAGGCACGCACCCTATTTTGTCCCTCCCTGCTTGATGTCCACGAAGGACTAAGATAGTGGGGACCAAATCTGTGAAAGGGGAGGGACGGGTGCAGTTCATTTTCTTCCTGGCAGCTTTCTGCTGTCTCTAGCTTTGCTTTCATAAACTCAGAAAATTAAAGATTTACAGAACAATTATATAACCTTATTTTCTGGCGTATAAGACTACTTTTTAACCTGCAAAATCTGGGATTAAAGTGGGGGGGTCGTCTTATACGCCGGGTATAAGGAGGTTCATGGCAGGTTTGTCTTAGTGTCATCATCAGTTGGAAATAACTTGAAGGTGCACAGCAACAACAACAACAGTTTTGGAAGTCATACTCTTCCCAAACTCTATATTTTAACTGGAAAAGTGGGGGGGGGTCGTCTTATACGCCGGAAAATACGGGTATCTAAAAGTAAAGTCCACTGAGTTCAAGCCACAGTTAGTGTGGCCATATGCCTTGATTTAGAGGAGAATAATCTATCTGAGGAACTCAGCCTTTTGAAACGCTATCCAATCCACACTTACTATAAAGATTTTTGAAAGTATGAAGGAAGAACAGGAGCATCACCAATGAGTATCTGGACAGAAGACAGGACAGGCACATAGGCACAATCTTCCCTACTGTAAAGAACTAGGTTTCTATATTTTTGTTGTGTTGTTGTTTGCCTTCAGGTCATTTCTGACTTCTGAAAATCCTAAGGTGAAACTATGTTGTTGTTTTTTTCTTTCCAAGATTTATTCAGAAGGGGTTTGCCTTTGCCTTCCTATGAGGCTGTGAGAGTGTGACTTGCCCAAGGTGACCCAGTGGGTTTCCATGGCTGAGTGGGGATTTGAACCCTGGTCTCTTGAGTCATAGTCCAATGGTCAAACCACTATACCATGCTGGCTCTTGGGCTTTTTAAGGTACAGTCTGCCCTTCCAATATGCAGGGGATCCATCCTGGACCCCTCCGCATAAAGCAAAAAATGTGGGACCTCAAGCCCCATTTGTTTGAATGGGGCATGTCCCTTCATGCGGTACAGTGCAGGGGCCAGAGGCACACACCCCATTCATTTTACTGGGGGTCGCCGTCCATGTAACCTTGAGTCAAACCATAAATGCTTTGACTGAAAAGTGTTAGCACTTTAATTTTTATGCAACCTAACAACTGCCTGAGGCCTTGGAAAAATTGTATAACAATTTTTCATATACACATATAAGAACATATCACACCAATGTTAAGATCACTCACCTGGCTGCTAGTTTCCAAGCAAACTACACCATGCAGCTGTAGTAATTAATAATTTTTAAATGTTTACGCTCCTCTTATTTAAAAAACATTGATCCCTTCCAACAGGTTATTTTAAGTTTTGTTTCTTGACTCCTGACTGCTTCTGTTTTCATATTGTTTTGTATTAAAAGTTTGGAACAGTATTTTTTTTAAAAGTGTCTACGTTTTACCTTCCAAGGCCATGTTATAGTTAAATGTTTAATGTACTTCTTCTCTCTTTCTCAATTGATACTTAAATTGATACTTTAAAAAAATTCTAAATGTCACAAAAGTGTTTTTCCCCCATGTTCAGGTACAACTATATCTAATGTACATGTTACATCTTTAAAGTTGTAGTTATATCTAATGTAGTTGCATGCTTGTTGTGGTTAAAGAACTTATTTACAAATAACTAGTCATTGCAAGTAGTTGCTTCTGAGCCCTGATACTATCCATTTTTAATTGTAGCCTGTGATGAATTTAGAATTTGTTAACTCTGGGAATAAAAGTGTTTGGTTTTTGTTTTGTTTTGTTTTGTTTGGGGGTTTTTGTGTGTGTGTGTTTGTTTGCTACTATGAATATATTTTTGAAGCAATGTGGAGAGAAATCCTGGAATGAAATAGAAAGGAAACATCAGAAGATTCCTCCAAGATCTGACCATGGCCCATATGTTCCAGCAGTCTTGGCAACATTCCCATAATGAGGCTTTGGACTTTATCACATGGGGGAAAACCTGTGTAGAAAATGGGATTTTAAATAGAAAATGAGTTTAAAAATAGAAAAGAAAAGAAAAACTACAAAGGCAGGTGGATTTTCAGACATCACTCTTAAAATGTGCTTAACATGAACGGAAAGTAGTCAAAATCTGCTTCATTTTACTTTTGGAAAATCCATTTTACTTTCGGAAAAGTAAAAAGAAGCAGCTTTTGACTACTTTCCGTTTGGGTTAAGCACACTCTAACAGCAATGTGTGTGAAAATCTACCCACTTTTGCAGGTTTTCCCCACCTTTTAAATTCCATTTCTGCACAGGATTTCCCCCGTGTGATAAGGTCCATGTGGCCAATGGTCTAAGGCTGACCTTCTGTCCACACTGAAAATGTTTGCCCACAACTTCGATCAACGGGAAAAGAAAACTGAATCCACCTTGGTACTTATAACCTTTTTTAGATGACAGATCCCATCATCCAGAGTCAGTTGCCTCCTGTATGAGGCAGGAGTGGGGGAGGAGATGAGTGTGTTCAAAGTTTTAATGTTGTGTTGGGATATTTGCGGGTTATAAAAATATTTGTAATTGTTTTAAAACTGATCAGGGCCTTTGGATAGTAGAGCAAGCTGTGAAGAAAAACAAACAAATGATTAATTCAATGGTCATCCACTCTGCAAGAAATAGGTATCATTAGGCACAAGTGTTGGAGGATGGAGCTATGTAGGTAACATGGCCCAGCTTGCATCTCTTAAACTAAACTGTGACTCTTAGGAATGATGGAAGCTGCTCTCACATCACCAAAGGCCCAATAAGAGTCAGCTACCATTTTGGTTGACTTCTGTACAGGGGATGGTTTGGTAGGAGGGAATGCCATCTTGTCTTGTTGTCTCAGGCAGCAAAATGCCTTGGGCTGGCCTTGCCAGGTGAGAGTAACTTGAACCCTCCATCCCAATTTTATGTATTTATTTTTATTTAATGTGAAGTCGAAGGCTTTCATGGCCAGCATCCATAGGGTTTTGTGGGTTTTTCAGGCTGTGAGGCTGTGTTGTAGAAGAATGTATTCCTGATGCTTTGCCTGCATCTGTGGCAGCCATGAAATAAATAAATAAATAAATAAATAAATACCTTTATTTATTTATTTATTTATTTATTTATTTCATTTGTATGCTGGCTTTCTCCCTGGGGGGACCCAACCTACAGGTGGGCTCCAGTAGAAACTGGGTCCTTCATTTTGTAAAACCACTGCCTATGTGTTTCTTCTCTTCCTCCCTCCCTATGAGTTTGAGAAAGAGAAAGAGAGAGAGAGAGAGAGAATTAATTAATTAAATTAAGCCGATTTCTGTGGTAGAAAGGGTAAAGCCTTGTTGGTGCCTTACCACCCTGTTTCATTTCTGACCCTCGCTGAATGCATGAACCATGAACGCTTGGACTCTGCAAAGTGTTAGCACTTTAATTTTCATGCAACCTGAGGCCTTGGAAGAAGGATACTCTATCAAATATTTCTTCCCAGGGGGATGCAGGTTGTTACTGCTACGAGGAACAAATTATAATGAAAACCAAGCCAGAATAGATGCTGTTCATCAGACATGCCAATAGCACTGGAGAAAATAATGTAATATTTAATTATCCTGAGAGCCTCTTGTCCTTTCAGAGCCAGCGTGGCAAAGAATCCATAGTGGTGGGGGGAAGGCAGGAGGTGAAATGTTGCTGAATCCATACTTCTCTAGGAATGCTGGCTCACCAAGAACATCATTTGCTGTAATATTCAAAGAAGTAGCCCTGTTAGTCTTTTGCACCATAAAAAGGAGGAAGGGGTAAAAAGGAAATGTGACAGCACCTTTAAGATGTTTTTTGAAAATTTTGCATGAGCTTTCATGGATATAAACCCATTTCTTTGGATGCAGTACTGAATGGTATTAAGGGCCTCAGGCATGAATTATATTTATACTGCTTCCCACCAACAAGACGGTTAGTTCAGTGGTTCCCAAACTGTGGGACAGGACCTTGGGATGGTGGTGCAAGAGTTGCTCAAGGGTGTGTGTGTGAGACCTGGAGGCCCTTATACCTTCCTCCTCCTCTTCCCAAACCTTTTCTTTCCTTCTTGTTGTTGTTGTTGTTGTTGTTGTTGTGTACCTTCAAGACATGGTGACTTATAGTGGCCCTAAGGCAGTCATTCTATCATAGGGTTTTCTTGGCAAGTTCCTTCAGAGGGGGTTTGCCATTGCCATCCTCTGAGGCTGAGAGACTGTAACTTGCCCAAGGTCACCTAGTGGATTTCCATGGCTAAACCAAGATTTGGACCCTGGTCTCCAGAGTCATAGTCCAACACTCAAACCACTACACCATGCTGGCTCACTTTTTGTCCTAGAGGGGAAGAGAAAGGCAAGGAGAGAACTTAGAGCAGCTACATCTGTGTATGGAAGAAGGAGGAGTGCAAGGAACCTTGATGGATCATGGCCTCTGGTGGGGCTCATCCTGAGCTGCTTCTGCTTCTGCTTCTGCTTCTGCTTCTGCTTCTGCCTCCACTTGTCCCATCAAGGCCCTGGTTCTCAGGGCAAGACACTGCTGCAGTCTCATCCATCACAGCCACTGAGTCCAGTGTGCCTTAGGCACATGGCTGCTGAAGGAGCATCAGTGTCCATGATGGTCCTTGGCGGAGGAGGAAGCCAGCAACGCCTTTTCTTGGCATTGCCACCGTCACCTGGCTCTGTCTAGGCCCCTTGGAGGCAGAAGAGAAGCAGCTCAGTGTGGCTATGCGTGAAACAGTATGTGTAAAATGTATGCATGTGTTGTATTAAGTATCGAATCTCTTTAAATAAAACTCTTCTAATCTGAATGGTGTTATTTCCTTATAAAATGTTAAAACATAAATGGACACGAATGTACAAATGAAAATACGCATGCTAATCAATATATTTTTATTCCTATACAACATTAACACCCCCCTGAACTTAACGTTGTATATGAAAAAAAATATTTTGTTTAGCTTGCAAAACACTAAACGTTCACATGTAGATGTAAAAGGGGTCACATGGGTGAAAAGTTTGAGAATCACTGGGGTTATGTGGTTAGACTCTGCCTGTATATTTTTTTTCCCAAAGAAATGAAAAAGGGATTCCCTTCACAGTTTCTAGCAGGACTTGCAACACAGTGCTCTACATATTATTATTTTTTTTGCAAGATTTGTTTAGAAAGGCTAAAAAGCGACTTGCAACACAGTCCTCTACATATTTTTCAGAAGTAAGTCCCATAATGTGCAATGCCTCTCCTTCCTCATGAATGGCTTTAAGACTGCAGCCATTGTCAAGAAGCTATTTGTTCAACAATCTTCAGTTCATCTTGAATGTAACTGGAGATCTTGTAGCTGAAATACAGCAGGTCAAAAACAATATCAGTATTGCATGGGGGGTGGGGAGCGATGGTGCTTTTTGAGTGTTGGACTATGATCCTCGGGACCAGGGTTCAAATTCCTGCTCAGCCATGGAAACTCACTGGGTGGCCTTGGGCAAGTCATACTCTCTTCTCTAAGCCTCAGAGGAAGGAAAAGGCAAACCTTTTCTAAATAAATCTTGCAAAAAAAAAAAAAACACCCTCAAAAACCCGTGATAGGGTCACCTTAGAGTCGCATAAGCTAGAGACAACTTGAAGGCACAAAACAAAAACAATCGCATGGGTGGGGCAGGTCTTTTGATTCCAGTATTTCCACAATTTCTCCTGAATTATGAAATTTGTGCATTGCAAATTCCTTCTATATTTACTCTAGTTTGCCCTCCTTCTTTAGTAAGGAAAGTGGAAGGATTGCTAATATCATTTTGCTGTGTGACCAACATAGTTGCAGCAGTTTTAAGGATCAGGCAGTTGCCAAAATGATGACAACAACATAAACACCACCTCTAGGACTTTGTAAGTGTTTTTAAAACTCTTGAGTGC